TAGCAATGCCTTCTGTTAATTGTCACGTTAGCATGTCAAATATACCAGACTCTACGAGCATGTTACAAATACTGAAATTAAGAAAAGAATGAGGAAAAGGAGAAGAAAGGGAGAAAAATATCAGTAGCTTGGCATATGGCATCAGTGGAATCCTCACTCATGTAGGACCTTGCTTTGTTTTAGGAAAACAGGGACAGATCTTTTGAAGAGTTTTACTAAGAGCATAAAAAGGAAAATGGGTCAGTAGCTGGAGGGGAAGTGGGATCAAGAGAGAATGTTTTCAATAGAAAAGGGAAATAATAGCATGTTTGAAGTCTAAGAGGAATTATTCAGTATCAAAAGGAGAATGATGCTGATGAATGAAATGAGAGTTTCTGAAAGAATGTCCTTGAGAGGTGAGAAAGGGTGGGATCTAATGTTTCACTAAAGGATTTGGCCTTATGTCATAGCACAGACGGCTCATCACAGTCACAGGAGGGAAAGCAGAGCTAGTGAGCACAGAAGCAGCCAGCAAGCATATGCAATGCTGGAAATTTATAAAGTTCTCTTCTGGCTCCTCCAAATCTCAATAAAATGTGAAGAGTCAAGGTCATCATCTGACACTGAGGATTGGCAAGCAGTTCAGGAAATCTGGGAAAAGTTGTATGTAATTCTCAAGAAGTATGGGAAACTCCATGGACCAGGAACATGTTATTTTTTTTTTCAACTTTGTATAGTTGTACTTATTTTAAATGTTTGTCTTAAAACTGGTGTTTAACTATCAGCCCTATGTGCTTCTGATTCTATAGTAATGTTTCCATAGTTTTCACTCACTTTAAAGTCCTTAGTAAGTACATAATAATGTCAGGACCCATCTATGACCTTTGTAAAAATTATAAATTCAAAGTGAGTCTTAGTGGTTGTTTTTCTCTAGCCTTGTTGTCCAGATTACAGGAAAGAATAAACAAAGGGTTGGGTTTAACCATGGCTATTCCTTCACCCATCAAGTGTATAATTGTGGAGCAAGGTACTTCAGGAATTGTTACCCTAAAAGCTAGGCAATGCTGACATTCTTTTCAGTTGATATCCATGTTTTTATTTATTATTTATTTGTCTATTTCTCTTAGACGAGTCAGAAGACCCGAGACAATGACTTCACTAAAATATAATTATGTATAAACTACCTCCTTTCTGTTCCTTTGATCTTTGTTGATTTGGGTTTTTCCCTTTCATTTAGAATATTGTCTTTAATAAGGTGACTATGTCCAAAACCTCTGATATAAAACACGATAGAGAGAAGAAATTGAGAAAGGGATTGTAATAATGTAGGTGGACAGGACATATAAAACAATTTGTCATGGTCGAAAGGTTTTATAGTAAATCTAGCTCTTATATTGTAAAAGACCCATTACTATTTTGATAGGAATTTCTCATTAATTCACCTAGTGAATATGTACTGCATAACTGTCATGCACAAAACATTATACTTATTAAGCAAGCACCAAGGTGACTTGGGGAGAGGACAAGCATACTTTATTGAGGTAGTTCTGAGTCTAAAGTCTAGATTTTTAGTAAATACAAAACTATTTGCAACCTAAAGTGGGACACACACATATTTTCAAGTACTTTGCAAAATAGAACAAAACAAGCACTAATAAAAAATTTCCATTCGATTTGTCCATCTAACTTACCACCATATAACTTATTGGGCTTGAAAGACAGACACTTAATGAATAGTAACAAATCAGTAAACACAATGGAGATAAGAACCATAGCAGATAACAGGAGATAGCATTGAACGAATTCTGAATATGGGATTTAGAAAACTTAAGAGAAAAGGCTTAAAACTGACCCTTGAAAGAAAAGAGGAACTCAACAAAGGGAGAGAAGGGCCATCATTTAAGATCACAGAAACTCTGTAAGGAAGACATTATTCTTCCCCATTTATAGATGAAGGAAACTCGGGCACAAAAAGGCGAGATATATTCATGTTAAAGCACTAGCAAGTCACAAAGCCAGTGCCCCTGTGTCCCACCACTACTGATACAGGGCAGCAAGGGGCACAAAATTGGCCAAGCCACTGCCCAAATGGTTTGCCAGTCACTGAGTTCTTCACCGGCTCGCGTAATTGCAAGACTACTCAGGCTGGGGAACAACAACAATATTTATTTAACAAAGTAGGGGAAAAGTTACTGAGGCCAAAAATGGCCTGTACCTCACCCGAAGCAGTGGCCAGTGTTTTCCAGTCCTGAACAAAAGCAGTTATGGTCACATCTCCTTGCCACGGAGGACACGAAGCTCCTCTCAACGCATCCAAAATGGCACCTTCCTGCCTCCGCCGTCATGGAGCACGCAGCAGCCAGACTCGAGACAAGGTTCCGACTCTCCAAGACAACAGAAGACGCCACAGGAGACGCTCCTGGGGTTACCAGGATGCCCCAGAGCAGCCCCAGACAAGTAACATTCAAAACAGCAGCTGCAGTGCCTGAAAACAAACCTCCACACTCGCACTCGCGCGAGTCTGCGAGGCGCCTGGCTCCGAGGCTCCGCCTTCCCTGTCAGGTTGTAGCAGCAGCAAAACGGAGTAATTTCAGTAGTGTGGCTAATGGCAAGGCCTCTGAACTTTTCCTCTCTGAGGTTGGTCGGTGCAGGCCTCCACCTTCACAGGACCACAACAGCGTGGTGGGGACCGGAGTCAGCTGACCCCACATGCTGAAGATCCAAAAACCTTGAATCCTGAAGAGTGCATCTGCTGCTGCTTTTGCAGTCACTTCTATTTCTTTTTCTACATCCACTGCAAGATAACATTACTTTGTAGCATTTTCTCTGGGGCTATCCATCCTCACCAACAACTGTCTCCAAAGAGACCTGTAAGTCTTTTTGGCTTCAGTCACTGGTTACACTACCATTATAGGATTTTGAATAGTTAAATGACATATCACCTGTTTTGTTACCACACTTTCCTTTCAAAAATAAACAATATAGAAGGAAGTTCTGAACATGTAAATGTATTCAATCTTATTTTTGTCTTTATTTCACTTGGTGATATGACTGTTCCCTAAAAGTATGTGCGTAAGGGTGGTTTTCCTGGTATTTAATCAAAACAGAATTGAATTGAATTTGATTTTATCTTTACCCAAATTCATAATATTCCTAACTTTTGCGAATGTGCTTGTGCTCTTAAAAAGATAGTTTTTAAAAATCACTTTGCCCTTCTCTTTGTGACTTTGAACTTCATCCAGAGACAGTTTTTGATGGCAGCCAATTCATCATCATACAGGTTTTACTCATGTTTTGTCATTATCTTAGAGAAATATTTTCTGCCTCAAAAATTTCCAATCTTCTACTAAATATGCTCCTTTTATAGCAGATAATCTTTCAACTATCAATTCATACTCATTAAACTTTTATCTACTCTTCCAAATACTTACATAAACTAAAAATCTCAAACTCATGAAAATGTATCCAATGATCTTTCAAAGTTGAGTTCAATATCAATGTGACAATCTAACAGCATTAAAGGACACAGTGTCTGCTGTGACCTAATTGCTTTACCCCCGAGTGCTTTCATTAGTACCTATAAATACCAGTTCTTTTTTACCTTGTTGAAATCTGTAACATTCTGTTTTCTAGTCTTTAAAAATTTTTTGGTCTATTTCATTTGAAATCCTTGAAGAAGATACAGATTTTGTCTGTGTGGACTGACCTACAAAAATTTGAACCCAAGTAACCCTAAGTCCTTGTTCTCAGAGATGTTGCTCGCCCCTTCTTTTGCAAATGACTTGGACAGAGATACAGACAGAAGATCAGATTCCTGCCTAAGTGATAGTATTTTGGGGGGTATGGGTGGTGATCCCTGTGGTTGACGCTGTGTAATGTAGGGGAACACAAGCTAGGTATCGCATACTCGAGTGATAAGGTTACCAGGAAAGGTGGAAGATATTTATTTTAAAGTTGAGATGTTCTTAACATAGGGAAAATGTAAGGAACTGTTCATGAAGTATCTATAACTTAGTCTTTGTGGTATCATGGACAGAAATAGGTCTTGTGTATGAAAAATATTGGAAGGTAATTTTTAGCTCAAAGGAAAGAATTATCTATGTAGAGTTATGGAACACAGTGCTTCATGGGGGATAAAGGCAGTCATTTGTGGACTGTCTTGGTTCTTCTTCAGCAGGGCACTATTAAAAACAGGTGATCGGATAGTTTATTTTACAAACTGGGACACATTTGAGAATGAAAGGATAACAGCAATACATCGGGATATCCCTGCAAATCAAGTCTTACATTAGTCTAATTAACTCTCCTTATTAGCCACAGGCTATGGGGAGTTGCTGACATGATCCTAGTAAGGAAAAGGGGATAGAAGGAATTGGTGCTAAAGTGCATAAATGCGCAAATCTGTGCTATTCTCCACTTGCTCTTCTATTTCCACCCTAATAGGTTGTAGCCCAAAGACCCAGCTCAAGCAGGATTTTGTGAGCAACCTGGATATGAGCAAGGTGTTAAGATCCCAAAGATCCAATGGGAAAAATTTCAGAGCAGGGAGCATTATTCCCAGAGCCAGGGCAGAGCAAAAATGATTCTGATACCAAGTTATTCAAAGTTCTACTAGAGCGTAACAAAAAAGTACGAATAGGACTGAGCCCAAAGGACCAAAGATTGTGGGGATGTCAAAGTGGACAGCAGGACAGGACCAGGACTCCACCACATCTCAGCAGCATTGAGTGGAATGGAGAAGTGTGGAGTGAATGGGGAGCAAAGCCCCCTAAGTGCCGTCTGTTTACATAACTCATAGGCCTAGAATTATCTGATGGTGCAACTTTTCTTCCATTGATAGTGACAATTGAAATAGAATTACAAAAGTTTTTCCTATAATTTAATAGAAACACTATAATCTGTCAGTATTCAAACAGTTATTAAAAAGTAATAATCATAAACTAAAATTTCCACTTTACTAACTGCAGTAGGCACAAAGTCTCCAGCTCTTAAGCCCCTGCTAAACTGTGCCCCAATATTGAATGGAAACCTTCGGCTCTGCTATGCAGCCAGACTCACTCAGGAAACTGACTCCACCTGTGCAGTTAGAAGGAACAGCTCAGAGTAATCCCGGCCCCCTCCCAAGAACACCTGGCTCAAGTCAAGGACACAGACACATCCCTGAAGTAACTGGGATCAGTCCAGTTACAGCATATAAGGCAGCCATACTTTTGGAAAATGCTGCTTTTCAACATGAATAGTGGCAAGTATGTTAATCCAGCAGAAACCAATCAGCAAATACAATTGCCATGTGAGGAAACTGAGCAAAGGAGAGAACCGCAGAGGGCATGACCAGAGCTGCCTTTCACCAGGCAGTCCTTGCCTTTAGCTCTCCATTATATGGGATAATGACTTCTTTATCACTTAAGCCAGTTTGAGATGGGTTATTTTGAAAGTTTTCCTACAAGTCTTCACATTAGATTCACCTGGAGACCTTCAAAATTTGCTGATGCCCGTGTTCCACTCAAAGATTATGATTTATTAGTTTGGTATGTGGCTGGGTAAGCAAATTAATCTCTAAGTTCCCGTTCTTTCTGAATATTCCTAAGAATTTATCACTTCCCAAGACCAACAGAGTGCTCTGAGACTCCTCAAAGTGACAGCAAATAAGTTCATACACCCCCTATAGTGAAAGAGAAACTTTTATGCTTTGCAGCAAGATTTAAGCTGTTCTGCAGTTGCCCAGCTTGAATTTCTGTTTCATTACCTTGTCTGTACCACCTTTCAAAGTATATGCATTTGAAAGCCTTCTTAACAAAATCACAATATAAATATTTGGAAGTCACACACTTAGGATCTCAAAGGGCCATAATGAATGGTCCCAACTGCTCATTAATAATTATCTTTGTAAATGGCAGAATGGGTAAAAGGAAAGAGATGCTGAGGAAAAAGGAAGAATTTGATCACTGTTAACAATCTCTCACAATGCAAAGCCTCAGTTACCCCAAGCACTATGAACCGAGGTTGGGAGGAGGTGTCTGTTTTGTCTCTGTTGCAGGGCTTTGTGAGAATTACATGAGATAATGCATCTGACAAAAAACCAGAATGCCAAAATGCTTAATGAATTTATACTGGATGAATCTATTACTCTGGAAGGTCTGAAGAATTACTCTGGAAGGTCTAGAGAGTTAAAAATGAAATCTAGGCCCTCCCTAGATGGCGCAGTGGGTTAAATAAAGCACAGCACTGAGAAACTAAAGCCGCTTCCGCATGAGTTCCATTCCCGCCTGCCCGGGAGGTGACCACATGGCGCGGCAGACCTCTCCTGACTTGCCCGCTGCTCCCCTCAGCAGTTCTACTTCGTAGATCTGCCTGTTCTGCTCCCCACTCTGTCTCTGGTGAAGCCTCTCGCCGCCCCTGAGCCTCTGGACTGTACCCCAGTTCTGTATGAACAAACAAATAAATCTTTAAAAAAAAAATGAAATCTAACTTAACAGACTCGGCAGTACCAAAAGGAAGAAATGGTTTCTGGAATTTAATTTTCTGCTGAATTCCTCTCTTTGTCCTTTCCTTCACCCTTCCTCTCATAATCTCCCTAAAATATCAAGTAGCTCTGTAGCTGTGACCTTAATACTTGTCCTTGCCAACTCATTTTCAACCGGATGCACCATCTGAGCCCCTCCCGGACAGAAACCCTGGCTCCCACTCATCGGCTGGAGAGCTGCTTTGTTACACGTTCTCCCTAGGTTTTGAGAAGCACTCCACTTCCTCATCCAGAGTGCACCTTTGGGTGCCACAATGCTGTATCATTGTCCACTTGAATTATAATGCCTATCAAGAGGCATCTCTGAGGAGGCTTGAGTACTAAATGGAGAGTGATTTTTAGAGAGATGTGTGGGAAATAGTTTCAATATTTGGCAGTTCCCGATGGCAACATTATTTGCTACCCTGGTTTCTTTAAAAATACACTTGATGGCCCTCCCTGGTGGCCATCACTAAGCACAGCACTAAGCTACGGTCACATAAGCATGAGCTCGATCCCTTCCTCAGAGGTGATCCACACATCTCAGCAGACCTCTCCTGACCCGCTCGCTGCTCCCCTCTGCAGTGTACTTTGTCAGTCTGCCTGTTCTGCTCCCCACTGTCTCTGGTGAATCCTCTCACTGCCCCTGCACCTCTGACCTGTACCCCAGTTCTGTGTGCATAAATAAATGAATCTTAAAAAAAAATACACTTGATCAATGGATTATACTATTACCTTATTTCTGAAAATGACTTGCTACTATTATTGTGTTTGGCAATTTTACCGAAGTTGAATTTTCACGAACCAGAGGATTCTAATTTTTACTTTACTTCACTGATTTATCATGTTATATTCATAATATATATGCACACATAGATGTGATACATATTTCAAAATCAATCTCCCTTCTACAGATATCTCCATTAAAATGGATCATTCTGGAACTGAAGACATAGATAATACCAAGAATCAAAACAACCGAAAATAATGCAAACACATATAAACTATCAACCATGAGATGAATATTTGAGTTGGCGAAGCATCAAACAAAAAGGTCGGCATTTGCCTGATCTAAAGCTCAAGTCTGTCCACAGGAATCCATGAAGCAGATTATAGCTAGTCTTCAAGCTTACTATAGACTGAGAGGTAAGAAAAAGGTAAATAAAACCTGCCTAGACTTTCCATCTCTTCATCCCTCCCCTTTCATTTACCTGCAGGTTGTCTTCAATCCAAAATTTCCAGTTTCTCACTTAGTCAAAGGAGACATAAAAATCAGTCAACTAATCTCAGATGGATGAATAATAAACATTCTGTGTGTGGTTTGTGCCACTGAGAACCATTTGGGCATTCCACAAGTCACCAGAAAGCCTTGGACATTTGGGTTTTACCCCTTTGTTTTATTTTTGCTGAAGCCCACATCTGAATTTTTTTTTTAAAGATTTATTTATTTATTTGTACAGAACTGGGGTACAGGCCAGAGATGCGGAGGGTGAGAGAATTGACCAGAGACAGAGCGGGAAGCAGAACAGGCAGATCGACGAAGTACACTGCTGAGGGGAGCAGCGGGCGGGTCAGGAGAGGTCTGCCGCGCCATGTGGTCACCTCCGGGGCAGGCGGGAATCGAACTCATGCGCAAGTGGCTTTAGCTTCTCAGTTCTGTGCTTTAACCCGCTGCGCCACCAGGGAGGACCCACATCTGAATTTTAATGCTGTTATTATGAAGTAGAAAGCACAGAATGATGGCAACATCAGGAATCTAGTGAGTTGATTTATGACTTAAGATTTCATTTTTCAAAAGCAGCATTACAATCCAGTTCCTCTCCTCAAGTTCAAATTTCTTATTCAGCAAAAAATTGAGAAGCTTGGAAACCTGTAGGCACATCCTCTGTACAGAGAGACCACAGATTAACAGTAGTTACCATGTTATAAGGCTGGTTGTTAACAAAATTTACCACACAGCTCCATGGTTTCAGCAGAGTTACAGTATTGTTGCTGTTGTTGTTTTTAAAGATTTATTTATTTATGCATACAAAAACTGGGGTACAGGCCAGAGATGCAGAGGTGAGAGGATTCACCAGAGTCAGAGTGGGGACCAGAACAGGCAGATCTACTGAAATACACTGCTGCAGGGAGCAGTGGGCGGGTCAGGAGAGGTCTGCCACACCATGTGAGTCACCTCCCTGGCGGGGGATTGAACTCATGCTGCAGTGACTTTGGATAGATTCATCGTGCTATGCTTTAACCCGCTGCACAACCAGGGAGGACCCTACATGTTGTTTTTAACCCCAACACAGCACCATAGAATTCTTGCAGCATTCCCAGAAATCGTTAGGGAATTTAATCATGCCACAGGTGTCCATGGTTTTCCTTGTTATTTATTTTGCCATGGATGAAAAGAAAATACCCATGGCTGCTTCTTTAATGGGGGAGGGAAAGAAAGAGGGAAAGGGAGACTCATTTATATGTGAAAGTTGGAGAAGTTCACCGATTTCTACTCTGATCACACAATGTTTGTTTCCATTCCAAACAAGCGTATCACCTCGCTTCATTGTCTGTAAAAGAGAGATTGATTTGCTGAATGTCAGGCCCATTGACTGAAGCAAGCTGATTCAATGTAGCCTGTGAGGCCTACACATATAGAATGAAACCTAGAATGTATGTCATGATCCCAGCATCCACAAAGTTCTTAAGTACTTACATCTGTAAGATGTGCAAGAGTTGAGTTAATCTGGGCAGTTCTTTCAGTTCTGGAGGCGTAATTAACTGACAGTCTCAAAAATATAAAGGTCTCTTTTTTTGCAGAAGTAAAGATATATTTGCTTTCTGACAGAAACCACACCCACAGAGAAATGACACGTACTGGATCATAGACAGGAGGACTCTAATTATAGGAAATCAAGTACACTGTACAAATATTCTGAGGCCCCAGCACAGCACCTCTGCTACCTAGCAAATTCTTACTAAATGTTGGTGGAATCAGAGACAAAAGAGGCCACTGAGAACGTGGAAAGATAGTGACACGTAAATCACTCATTTTGGAAGTGTCTGCACAGTGATCAGATAATGACACCGGAAAGTCTGTATTTGTTCACAGGTAGAAGTATAAATATAGAGCATAAGCATCACATTAAATATGAACATGACTAACACTGACTGTTTTCATGTAACTTCTAATTCCTTACCACATTCACACATAGGATTCATCACAGGTATTTGTGGAATCAACTATTTCTGCACAACCAAATTTTTAGCTCTGAATTTTATTCTTATGTCTTTCTTCTTGATTAGGTTTGCCTCATCCATTCTTGCTTCCATGGATGAAGTAAACCACTGTTTTTCTCCCCACAGCAATGACAGCCAATTATCTTTATGGCTGTTGCTGGGTGATATGAAATTTTATTATTCATCAGCAAGGATTTCTTAATTCTAACAAGTTGGTTCACAAAGAAACAAGAATTAAGACCCAGCCACGATTTCTTAATTCTAACACGTTGGTTCACAAAGAAACAAGAATTAAGACAACAAAGTGGTGTTCTTTTGACAGAATAACCCACTTATTGTTCTTGTAGCTGTTTTTACAAAATTATGTGTTGACATCTTTCAGACTTAGGGGAGAAAGCTTTCATATTCCTCAAATCAAATGGAATATTGAGCTATTTCTTTTCCCAGTGTGTACAGCAACAATAGTAAAAATGTTCTGAGTTTCGTGGAAGAATCATTAAACATGCTCATTCCAAAACACAGAGGCAAAAGAGGAAGTCTTGCTTCTGCTAGTCTCTCTTCTGTGGGCCTGTGCCCTCACCCAGCAAACTCCCTCCTTTGTGATCATTCCCCTTCCAGCCCAGCCCCAAGTCAGGCCGCCCATCTCCCTCTATCTCCCCTCATCTCTCTCTTTCTCTCCACCTCAATATCAAAAGCTTAATCAAAAGCTAGAGCTTTCCTTCAGAGTCGTGTGTGACTTAGAGCAGATGAAAGATGGAGGGAGCCCCAGTTTTTCCACAAGTACTCTCCACACACCAGGTGCCCCACAGCCCCCTGGGAACATAATAAGAACTGCACACACTCAGATCCCTCGCTAGACCTACTTTTAGAAATTGCATTTTAAGAAGATCTCCAGGTAATTTATTTGCGCTTCAAAGTTCTAGACGCACTGGCTAGAAATGATCTAGCTGGCACCCTCATTGTACAGATTGGAGGAGGAGGTGACAGACCCCTGTTGGTGGCCGAGCAGGGTCAGGGCCCCACATCCTGACTTTCACTCCAGTGGGCAATCTCTCAAGTTCAACTGTGCCCACTGTGACTGGGCAATTGCACACACCATGGGCCTAGTGTCATCCTTCCAAATGTGTATAACTGCTGGAACTCTGCCTGCCTTCAAGGCATGTGCTCCCTGGGAAGTCTTCCTACATTGCCACACTGCCTAGAGCAAGGCATTCAACAGGAAAGTGAAGTTCTGTAGTCAGATTTCAGGCATTGGCCAGCACCCATGAAAAACTAGGGAGGGGAGGCACTGGCTTTCTCCAGAATCCTTGTGTAAATTCTTCCCAGTAGATTTAGTGCAGGACAGGTTAAATCACGGAGCTAGAAAAATCCAGCTTTCAGAAGTTTTCCGACTCGGCCCATCCCTGAGATTCTTTGATGCCTCAACTTCCAAAAACTCTTTGATGCACCCTGGGTAAGGTGGGAGGAATCTTCTAGGATGTGGCTGGTGCGCCTGTGTTCCAGTCACAGAAATATTCTATGGCCCCCGGGAAGTGGAAAGCTGCCAGGAAACCATAAAAATGACATTAGAGGGGCTGCCAAAAAAATCTTTCCCTTAAAAAGTCAAAAGAAAATCTGCCAGTCCCTATAAACTACATTTGATTCCTACAAACAACAATGCCTGAGGGAGATAATTCTTCAAGCAGCTTCAGGCATTTGTGCTTCAAGGAGAAAGTCCTCTCCAAACCCTTTGTGAAAAGTAGATTTTAATGGGTGCAAAGACATTTGTGTCCCTGGGGTAAGAAAAAGGGCAGCAGGAAAAGGAGACCAAAAACAAGCTTTCAATTGGACTGAAATTAAATGAAGGCTTAATTGCAAACAAAAAGCAGTACTCTTAGGATGTGTCCAACCAGCAAATAGAAGGGTAACCACATTGTGCCCTTCTAGATATTTCTTGCAAGGATACAGAGAGTCAAAGTCACCAACACTCAAAGGGAGTCTAGTTGATTTTATGTAATTTTTCACTCTGGCACTTCAGTGGGCTTTGAACAACACTACTGGGTATATTGAAAAAGATGAAAAGATGAAAAGGTAAAATGACATCCCCAAAGAGAATGTGACTTATGTGAGAGAGAAGGGTAGCAAAGGCAGCTGGTTTGTTCAGAATGGACACATAAAATATCTGAAATCATCTGTGTGATTTCCTTTTCACATGGTATGTAGACTCCACTAGACACAGGGTGAAAAGGTTGATTAATGAGGGATGCGGACCATTATTATTTTACAATCTGTCCCTTGCAGAGCAGGAGAGAGATCATATTCACAAACAAGGGTTCCAGGACAAAATTATCCCCCCCCCCCACTCTCCATGTGTGCAAACCCTCATTAGGGCCCCAAATGTGAAGACTCTATAGCACATGGGAGGTCAGGGGCGTGGGGGGGTGGAGGGGGGTTTGAGGAAGACAGCCACTCCTGGATTTGTGGATTCTGTTGAGTCACTGCTGTAAATGACATGAGCTTCTTTTGGTCTCAAAATCTCTTTGTTTCTTACAACAAAAAGCAAAGAGAAATCCAGATGTAGAAAAAGTGATGAATGATGGCAGATAAAGCCCAGATGAAAGACCTTCCTCATAGGATCACAGGACTTTTCTCACCTTAACCCCTTCTTGCAGCACTGCAGTTCTTTAAAAAGTCAGAAGCTATCAGCAGCTGCCCCAAAATCATATAGCCACTCACTGCTTACCATCAAAACCTTTTTTTTTTAATTTTTTTAAAAAAATTATACACACAAGAACTAGCATGTAGATGAAAGATGTGGGGGGTGGGTGAGAGTTTTCACCAGAGATAGAGTAGGGAGCAGAGAATGCGAATCTACTGGAATACTCTTCTGAAGGGAACAGCAGGAGAGACAAGAGAGGTCTGTTACACCATGTGAGTCACCTCTCTAGCTAGGGATCAAACTCATGCTGCAGTGGTTGCTAATAGCTTCATAGTGCTGAGATTTAACCTCTTGCATCACTAGGGAGGCCCACTATCAAACACTCTTAACAAATATATGAACAAACCCTTCTTTACAATAGGAAAGGTCATACCATTCTTTTGATCTCCATATATGCACATTCACAACTACTTTCCACTTCAGGATCTTATCTTAATTTATTTTAAGCTTGCAACTTTGTTGTAACATGTTTTAAAATACTTCCCTGTAACAAAAATATTTATAAAAATTGAAATTATATTTTTAATTTATTTCCACTAGTATAGTTTATTTGCAGCTTTGCTGTACTTATAATTACTTTTAATATATAATTGATTAAAATAAAGAGATATGTGAAAAATCTGATAAAACTTTAAGTAGATTTTTCTTGACAAGTGGGTAAGATCAAATACAGATTTTGTGTTTAGAAACAAAAAATTAGGAAAAGGCTTTGGAAGGAACTCACTTAAATTAAAGACTCTGAATTTGCTGCTAAACGTTCCTCAGTTTTTACCTCTGTATAATAGTGTTGTTTTTGGTATTGTTCCTCCATTAGCTCATATATTTTAATAAATATAGATTTCATCATCTATTTATGTCTATCCTTTTGTTTAAAAATAGGTATAAGTACACTTGAATGTTAAGAACACTTGTTACCTAAATGGGCAGATTTTAACAGATGGAGTCTTGTATAGTAATATCCCTACTCCCTAAATACCTTTGGCTTTATATGATAACAACCACATCATGATGTGTCTTTGCTATTTTTAATAATCTTATCAATTGTTAACTCTGCTTACACTTTTCATTTGGTAAAAGCAAAGAATCAGAAACATGTGTCACCAATTAGCCAAATCTACTTCCTTTCTTAACCTCAACATTGTTCTTTCCAGTTGTCCCTTTGCTTGGAAACCTAGGGAGATTATGCCCCAAAAATATTAGGGATGAATGAACGGGAGAAAGATGACCAATGAGAACATGACAAGAAAGGTGTGTCCTTACACAGAATGATTAGGAAAACATGATAGGAAAGTTGAACATAGAAACTGATTCTCTTGAAACTGCCTGTATTCCTGTTTCTCCAATATATCCAGGCTTCTGTTTAAAAACTACAGGTCTACCAGGCCCTACACAATCTATGTTCCCCTCACCTCTTTTTGTCGCCATCCTCTATTACTCTCAACCTTGCTCTAGTCATACTGATCTCCTACTTCTCTTTATGCTCGTGCATTCTCCAGTGCTGGAGCTTTTCCTCAAACTGCTCAAAAAATCACCTTTATAATGAAATTTTAAGGCACACACAAAGACACACACATACACATTCCTTATCTTTTTCTTTATATCTTTCTCCATAGCACATGTAGTTGTCAATAAATTTTAAGTTAATTAATTTCTTTGGGCTATAAATTAGTGTGTCAACATAAACCATGAAAAAATTTTCCATCTAATGGGATTGTGCTTGGGCTAGGGGGAGAGGATGGTCTTAGCATTTGGCCATTTTGCACCCTTGATGGTGCCATAGTGCAGTGTGTCAGGAAGCAGTATGGGAAACATATAGGGTCTTTCTGGATCAAATCCCTGACACAGGGGTATACCAGATCTGGGTCATTATCTGCAAGCAGGAGCCTTTCTGTCTTTTGACATTGGGAAGAATTTCAGCAATTCCCAAGAGCACCGGCATCTTCTTCAACAATGGGCCTAGCCTATCCACTGTAAATTTGGACCACTCCCCAAAAAGCTCAGAAGACTCTAGCCTCTGCCCCCTTTAAATTGTTTTTCAAAGCATAAGGGTTAGTTGAAGGAATACCTTGAGATATCTGATAAGGCCAGTGGGAGTTTTTTCTTGCAAACTAACTTTCTACAGACAACTGAAGTGAAGTTAAAGGGAAAAGGGAATGAAATAGATGTTACCTCTTCCGTGGACATTATCTCCTGGTAAAGTACCCTTTATCTTTCTGCAGAGAATACAACAGAGAGGTAAGTACCCAAAATAGAGTGCTGCACGCTCTTGACTTTTGAAAGATCATATAGTGGAGTGAGACTGAGCTATTGTACCTTTATGATTTTATGTCAGTCACTGCAATCCATGTAGGTTATTCTGACAGACAATTTATGCCTATACTGTGCTAAAGATAAATGACTACATAAAAGGGAAATGATTATACCTTATCAATGGAGACAGATATTTGCAGATAAAATAAGCTCACTACTATGTGATAAGTATCGAATGTACATTTTCATTTATAAAATATAGCGCAATTAGATTTTCAAAATTTATGATAAACCATTATTTACCTGAGGAAAATATGTAATAAAATCAGAGAACATTGAACTCTCATTTGGCATTCTAGAAAGTGAAGTATTTTTCAACTGAAATCATAGAAACACTAATCTGTATCTTCAACATCATATGCATATCAATAAGAAATTCAAAATGCAAACAAAAAAAGAGAGGAAATGTAAATTAGATAAATTATTAAAGAAAGGAGAGTTGTCAAACTCTAAATTTACAAATTACACATATTTTATAATATTTAGCAACTAAATCCAAAAATGATAATGCTATGACTATATGAATTACTGAAAATTCTTTATAATCCTTTTTACATTGGTTACTTTATTTTCATTCCCTTTACCAACACTTTGGTAAAGCTCCTTACTAATTTACACTGTGAAAAATGTCAAATCTGATCTCTCTCTAACAAATTTCCCTGCCTCTAAACTTTTCCCTCTCTTGTAACTGGGTTAATTAATATGAAATACTCCTTTCTTACATGAAGCCCTATTCAATGACTTTCAAAAGATTCCAACATTTCTTTTATCCTTCCAAATTCCCTCCCTTCCTTTACCCACCTGCTCCGTGGGCAGACAGCTGAGCTATGTGGGTTGAGTCTCAAGCACTCCTTCTCCTCTGACTTCTGGTTAGGTCAGACAAAGGACAGATTAGAGGGGGAGAGGAAAATGGAGTCAGCCAACTTAGCCCCTCCCCAACCCACACCATCAACCTACAAAGTCTTCCAGAGCCATTGTCCTCCCTCAAGTCTACTCAGTTGTTGTCAGTCTTCTCTGTCTCTGGAGTCTGGTAACTACCCCTTCTTTCATCTCCCTGGCTACAGGTAATTTTAACACCCTACCACTAATAGCCTTAAAGTACTTTCTTTACTCTTACACTCATCCTTCAACTTAGTAAGTTATCGGCCCTCCCGGGTGGCGCAGCGGGTTAAAGCACTGTACTGAGAAGCTAAAGCCACTTCTGCATGAGTTCGATTCCCGCCTGCCCTGGAGGTGACCACATGGCGTGGCAGACCTCTCCTGACCCGCCCGCTGCTCCCCTCAGCAGTGTACTTCGTCGATCTGCCTGTTCTGCTCCCCACTCTGTCTCTGGTGAATCCTCTCACCCTCCGCATCTCTGGCCTGTACCCCAGTTCTATATGGATAAATAAAAAAATCTTTAAAAAAAAAAAAAACTTAGTAAGTTATCTATTAAACTGTTTCCTATCAGCACCTCCACTGAGGTAGAAGTCAAACTAATTAATCAAAGTCCTTCCAGTCATCCATCAGTCTACTAAAGCCCTGTGCTACTTCCTCATCGCATGTAGACAGCTCACTGCCTGCACTTTGACCCTCAGGAGAGCCGTCCAGCAGCTCTACCTCACTGTCCAAATTCTACTCTCATTACATGTTGTAACTGCCTGAGCCCGTGATAAAGCTGAGCCTCCCTGCTTTGAACTCTGTGTTCTATTTGGCACTGCCATTTTTGTTTAACACATTCTACACATTTTTGCTTTCCCCCGTTTCCCTGTGAAGTATGAACTCCTCCATGACAGGGATTGTTTTCTATTTCTCCAACTCACTGCCACAAAACTGAGCAGAGTCCTCACGTATGGTTAACATATAACAGTGCATGCTATGTCCAGCCACAGTTTTACAAAATAAAAAGAAGAAATAATGTGACTTAAAATCTTAGTACTAGAGTATTCATGTGTCCACAAGACTGAGAAATAGCAAGTCCTCTGATTTAAACATAGGATGATAGTGACACTGCCATTTAAAAAAAAAAAAAAAAAACAAAAAGAGGGCCCTCCCTGGCGGCACAACTGTTAAAAGCTCAGCACTGCAACCTGGCCACAGCCACTTCAGTGCAAGTTTGATCCCAGGCCAGGGAGGTGACCCACATGGTGCAGCAGACCGCTCCTGTCCTGTCTGCTGCTCCCCTCTGCAGTGTACTTTGTCAATCTGCCTGTTCTGCTCCCAACTTTGTCCCTGGTGATCCTCTCACTGCCCCTGCACTGCTAGCCTGTACCCCAGTTCTATATGTATAATTTTTTTTGAAAGAAAAGCATCCATAGGATAAATGCAGCAAGACTTGATATAAAAACATAAAAAATTATAGGAATCAATTGCCCAAGCCAGAAAACAAGAAAAATAGAATTATTCTATTCACTCCTTTGCCTTACTAACATTGCTAGAGAGAAAGAAGGAACAAAAGAGAAGCTTTCTATATTGGCTATGGTTACCAAGTTGAAGGAGACTCTAACTTCAAACATTTCCAGATGGAAGATTTTCTCACATGATTAACCTATACATCTTCTAGCTCCAAATACCTTCAAGTAAAAGCCAGTAAATGAACCTAGTGGCTCATTTTCCCAAATCGAGCTCTTCTGTAATGATTGTTGACTTTGTGGCTGAATCTCACCTATTGTTAACGGGTAAGAGAAAACAAGGTATTAACTTGCAACTAATGTAGCAGCCAGCATTTTTTTTAAGATTTTATTTATTTATTTATTTTTAAAGATTTATTTATTTATTTATACATACAGAACTGGGGTATAGGCCAGAGACACAGGGGCGGTGAGAGGCTTCACCAGAGACAGAGAGGGGAGCAAAACAGTCCAACTGTCGAAGTACACTGCTGTGGAGAGCAGCAGGTGGGTCGGGAGAGGTCTGCTGTGCCATGTGGTCACCTCCAGGGCTGGGATCAAACTCATGCAGAAGTGGCTTTAGCTTCTCAGTGCAGTGTTTTAACCCACTGCACCACCAGGGAGGGCCAAGATTTTATTTACTTTTATGAAGAAGAACTGGGGTATAGGCCAGAGGTGGAGGGAGTGAGAGGTTTCCCCAGAGATAGAGTGGAGAGCAGAACAGGCAAGTCTACTGAAATACACTGTTAAGGGGAGCAACAGGTAGATCAGGAGAGGTCTGCTGCGCCATGTGGGTCACCTCCCTGGAGGGGGACTGAACTGGTGCTGCAGTGACTGGTGATAGTCTCATAGTGCTAGACTTAACCCCTTGAGCCACCAGGGAGCCCCCTGGCCAGCATTTTAAATAATTGCTCTTACTGGTTATTTTCATCTTTACTGCAGGGTAAAGTAAAGATATCAAAGTCATAAAAATAAGAAAGAGAGCTTATTAAAAGGAAAGACCTATACAGTAAAAAAAGAAAAAGAAAATCGTCTACAGTACAAATGCTATACTATTTGAAATAAGGAGGTTACACTAAATATGATCTCCATTAAAGGTCTTTATTAGGGACATAACACCAGCAAACACAAATAAGAATACTAAATTCAAAATTCTACTATAGAGTCTGAATTCCTATTTAGCCTCCATGTTCCAAGATAGTTCTTGTTTATAAATAACAACATTCCGGTGGATCAGAGTCCCTGCCAGGCTGCTCCTCCCTTATTAACACTCCAGCAGTGTTAAGTGTGACAGAAATATTGAAATGGTCCCATTGGCTGTGGCCTATCTAGATGACTTTACAACAACCGAGCATTTCGCCATTCCCTTTAGTCTTCCCATCTCCAAAAACCACAGAAAACTGAAACAAGTTTTCTGGACAACTATAGTATCACAAACAAAGTCCTCTGGAATCTCATATCTTATAGTAACAGATCACCCAGGGAGCTTAAAAAAATAACAAATGCCACTCTTTTCTAAATAAAACTTTCTGCAGTGCGCCCATACTACATGCAGACAGCTCTGTAACTATCACGTTGGATTTGCCTTTAGAGTGTCTTCCGCAACACCACTCCATGGCACTGCGAAATATTCACAACTCCATGTCAGGCAATAGTCATGTCTGGTAGAGGTATTTAATTTATACGCATTATTCATAAATCTCTCTCTCTCTCTTTCTCCCAATACTACAACTATAAATATTACCTTAATAGAAAAACTGGATTTGCAGGTTTGAAAGTTTTGAGTCTGAGATTTTAAAGACTGTTTCAGTCATATGTTATGTCATCACTTTTCTTTCCTGTCAAGAACACAGTGTAAGCACAATGGAAATATAAAATATCAAGCTAAAACTGGCTTGCCCGGGGCCTTCGTGGTGGCACAACAGGTTTAAGAGCAGCACTATGAAGCTATCCACAGCCACTGCATCAGGAGTTCGATCCCCAGCCAGGGCACACCCACATGGTACACCCACATGGCACATCAGACATCTCCTGCCCTGCCCACTTCTCCCTCAGCAGTGTATTTCAGTCAATCTGCCTGTTCTGCTCCCTGCTTTCTGTGTCTGGTGAATCCTCTCTCTTTCTCTCTCTCTCTGTCTCACACATACACACGAATACATACACACATAATTCCTCTGGCCTGTACCCTAGTTCAAATCTAAAAAAAAAACTGACTTTCCTGCTTATAGAATTTTCCACAGACTACACAAAACCAAGATAGTTATAGAATCCTCTGGAGCCAAACACAACCAATTTGGGATGTTGTTTGTATTTTTTGTCAATGAAATTATAATAGAATATTACTTCTGAAGTGGAAAAAATAGTAAGCTCCATTTTAAAATACTTATTTGCTTTTCCTTTAATTTTTAGATATTTTGAGTATAGGCAATTTAAAGGCATGTCTTATTTTCATCAAGCTCCTTTTTACCACCTCTTTTCTCTTCTTCTTTTTTTAATGTTAATGAAAAAGATAAAGTGGGTATAAAGGAAAAACTAGAAGAGCCAGATGAAATTGCCATAATTTCTGTAGGTAAGCTTAGATCACATTTAACCTGCTTCTTATCCTTTATTCAAATAATCATAAAAGCATGTGATTTTAAAAACAAGCTTAATTGAAGTTGACAAAGTTTATAACACATTATCTCAAAACTAATTTACATTTTAATCACAAAAATAATTTAAATTTATGTATAAAATTTGGAAATGTTATCAAAATGTATAAAGGAAAACCAAATCAACAACTAGACTCAAATTAGAAGCAATCATTACCAAATTTTCCAAACAAAGAAATGAGCACGACAGATATTTGCCTGTGCATCATTTGGATAGTCACAAAGAGAAAAATTTGCTAGATCTTCTAGGCAAAAACATTGAACTGTAACACATGTAGAGAGGCAGCAAACTCTACATGGGAAGAAAAGAGAATTTAACTGGGATCAAGAGTATGAGCTACATTTTGCTCAATAACATACTTGCGTGGTCTTTTAAAAAATGAGTTCAAAATGCACCTAACATCTGCCAATTGCAGAATGACAGAGAAATAGCATATGTAATTTTAACCTTGTTCCAATATAAACTCCTTCAGTCTCATGCTTGTGACTGTGATTTTTTTAATTTTCACAGATGTTCCCAATGTCTCACTTGGACCCTCTCCTCTCACTCCTGACAACACGTTCCTCAGTGACATCAAGATGCCTACAACAGTAAGGCATTCTGAAAGTTATTCTAGTTCTTCACATGCCTGTTTTGGTCTTCTTAGTAAAATCTGAAAAGAGGAGGAGTAGACAATATTACTGAATTTTTATTACTACAATGAAGTCAGTGACTTTATTCTATTGACTATTTTCACTTCTTAGGGTCTAAGTGAAAAGATAGATTTACAACTAACAGAACTGTGAGGAATTGCAAGAATCAACTGAATTGTAAATTCTAGGAGGGCAGAGACGCTGTGTCCTCCCTCCCCTCCCCCCATGCCTCACAGAACCTTAAATACAGAAGCTCAAGTTTTTGAATCAATGAATCTCTCAGTCAATCAATGAAGTTATTTCTATACTGAGGTGGAATCTCATGCTGACCACAGGTTAGAGGTTTTGTTTTCAGTCATGTCCAGCATGAATAGGTCAGACAGATACCAAAATAATAAACATTCTGTATAGCAAATGGGAAAAAATAAAGCCAGTGCTCAGGCAGTGAGAAGGTATGGAGGATTGTTACCGAATATATTGTTGGTTGTCAAAAAAGTGGGATATCGTTAACCCTGCCAAAAATGTTTGCGCCCAGCCACTCTGTGTCAAGACAAGAAAACACCAGAAATTCCTCACTCAGGAATGGTGGGGCTGGGGTGGCACAGGCCCAGGAACAGACTCAGAAGGGCAGGGTCAGTGGGATGAAGAGATGACAACCTGAATCTTCTCACTCTTACTCCAGCCCTGCAAACATACCTATGATGGATAGCCTGTAGTCTGAAGGACTTGCCTTGGTTTTTCTGTTTCCTGTCCTCCTTCCAAGATCAAAGCGGGAAGAGCGAGCAGGATATTCAACTCCATGTGAAAATTCAGAGATGAGAACTCAACTGGCCATTCTATCTGGTCTGTAGGCCAAATGTCTCAGATTTGGTTGAAGTATTGTTATGGACCCAAAAAAAAGTGAAACAGCGAAAAGTACTGATGAAAAAATTATTGCAATTAAATATAATTACTAGGCCCTCCCTGGTGGCAAAAAGGGGTTAAAGCACAGCGCCATAAAGCTATCAGCAGACACAACAGCACAAGTTTGAACCTTGGCCAAGGAGCTGACCACATAGCACAGCAGGCTTCTCCTGACCAACCAGCTGCTCCCCTCAGCAGTGTATTTCAATCAATCTGCCTGTTTTGCTCCCCACTCTGTCTCTGGTGAATCCTCTCACCCCCTGCACTTCTGGTCTGAACCCCAGTTCTTGTATGCATAAATAAATAAATCTTTAAAATAAGTAAATAGATATAATAACTAAAATCTTTCAGTGTACAATTAATTTTATTCCAGAATAAGATGTTATGAGATACAAATTTTTCAAAGTTCAGGTGCACATTATATAGATCATACAATCTCTACTTAAATTGGCAATATTTTAAAACTAAAATACTTTTTTTTTTTTTTGCAGGACTGTCCATTTTTATACAATATTTGGTTCCTCTTCTCAGGTGCAGTCTCCCACTATCACAGCCACTTGAGTGTTTCCCTCCTATGTTTTAACCCCTCTCCCACCCCACACCCTGCTGAATGCCTCAGATCTATCATTTGCCTACAAGTTTTGCCCTTTTCCTGACCCTTTGTTTGGTTCCCCAATATTCCATCTAGAAGTGAAACCAACTGATAATTTTCTTTTCCTTCTGACTTATTTCACTAAGAATAAACTTCCTGCTCCATCCATGTTGCTTCAAATGGCATGAGTTTATGTTTTTGATCACTGCATAGTATTCCATTGTGTATATATACCACATCTCCAGGAAAGTTTCCCATTCCAACTTTTCCATGCTTAAAAGTAATGAGCATTTAGATTTTATTTAAATGTTATAGGTTTTTAAATTTTATTCAGTTGCAAGCCATAAGAAAATATTCTTATGTAGCCACCAACCAGGAAACATGTTGTGTGGACATACAAATTTTTAATTCATAGTACTTTCTCTAGCACTTTTCCAGTTTGGTGCAATTTAAAGATAGGACATTTCTCGTGGGTAATAATTAGGGAGCAGAAATGCTGTCCATGTCACCCACCAAGAAACTAAGGAAATGTCCCTTGATGTTCTATCTCTGACCAACATATCTCCAGCACCTCCAACAGAAAATAGAAGGCAGTCCATTCCCTACAGGAGAAATCCAGACCACCATGCTAAGTGAAAGCTACACACCACAATAAGAACCCTGCCTTTATTT